TCTCCTAGTAGCACAATGGACAATTGTCTGAAATATCTTCCCAACATTTTGATCAGTAAAAACATTGACCAGATTTGCATGTTCCTATGTAAATGCTAGCAAATAAAAACTGATGAGTAGACTATAAAAAAGAAAAAAAAGATAATAAAACAGAAAGACAGTTGGAAATCACTACCAATTTGAATTGCCTGGACAATTGTACGACTATATTGTCCAAGACAGAACACTGGTAACAATAGATTAAAGCAATATGAAACACTTTAAAACTCCCTTTGAATTAAGAAGTTCCAAAACAGTTTCTTTCAAGAAATAAGCATCAGAGAAGTTGTAGGTCTATGTGGCCTATCAGTCACACAGCGGTAGTTCACAAAGAGGTCAGAAAGTTCGCAGAGGTTGTTGTATTAGGAAGCAGAGCAGGTTTTTGCTTTTCAGCTTTAATAATCTTGAATTTGTCACTACAGGAAAATAATCTATTGCAGTTACAAGCTATTGACATGAACACCTTTCACTTTGTTAGGGTCTCCAGCTGATTAATTTACTAATTCAGAGGAAAGAGCTTTTAGAAACTTTAAAGCTTGTTTGATAGAATCTGTAATGATGAAATTTATCCCATTCTTCAACACAGCAAATAGGACATAATCATCTTACTATTAAAAATACAAAAGTGACTTTTGATCAACTGCTCTGCTTGCAGCAGAACCCTGTTGAAACAGCTTAAAGAGGTTGGGTACTCCTACAGCTTTATGGGCCATTAAGTCCAGAATGCTGCCTATATTATTTGACTCTTGATTGGGTTGGAAATGAAAATTTACCTTTATTCTAATGAGAGAGACATATATTTCCAGCATGGCAAAAGTTAGGAGATAATTTTCTTACTGCCATGGCTGTGATTTAAAAAATAAAAAAAAAAAAAAATAAGCAGTATGTAATTAACCTTCACAGTAGGCAGGTACTCTTCACCACAGCCTGGACCTCCTGATCGTCCAAAGCATGGGAGACATCAGTGCACATGAGGCTCCCTTACTGTCCTCATGCCCCTATTTTCTTCTGAGGGAAGCTGGAGCACACAGTGTAGTTGTTGGATCTGAAGATCCAAACATTTGTCAATGTTACAGCTGGGATCCAGCCACGGGGGCTGAGGTTATGCAGCAGGGTGCATTCAGACGGTGCAAATTCCTACAGCATGATGCATAGGGACAGCCCCAGAGAGGGATGGGAAATGGTAGCAGTGTTTCAGATACAATGGGTGGATGGCACTTGGTTAATAGTGACCTTTTCACTGTAATAGTTGATCTTATCATAGAGCTGGTGACATTTAGAAAAAAAAAGAAAGTGAAATATTGAGGAAATAAACAAGAAAGTATATGAAAGATATGAAGATTGAATGCCTTGGGGCAACATCAGCCACACAAAAATTGAAGAAAGAATAGTGCAAATTTGTGCAAAAAGTGGTTGCATTTTACAGAGTATATGACATGAAAGAACTGAATACTTTTTTAAAATCAATATTCGCACAGTGGAAGTGCCATTATGCTTTGGAGAGACATGGTAAAGGAGCACTTCAGAAACTGCCTTATATAGAACTGCAATTTAAGAAACAAATGTAAAACTGAAATACCATCATGGCTTCTGTCAGACAAGCAGTATGTCTCCTTTTGTCTTCGGTGCTGCGGCTACTGAAACACTAACATGCAATACACTTACTATTATAATCCATTTCCTAAACAAAATTAAGTCTGATGTAAAGTCAAAAGTAGACCTTGGCAGCAGAATGAAGAGCAATTTGCAGCAGAGTTCATGGATGGATATGAGGTATCTGAGATTTGTCCAGCAAGAAAGATGATTTAGTTTCAGTTTCTATATGTTACTTTGGTAGGCAGCTAGTAGATGCTGAGACTGTAACTCAGACAATGTGTAAATAAACATTTTAAAAACAAATATTGTATATTAAAAAATTCAGATGTAATGAAAAGATCAAGTAACTTTCCCAATTTCAAATCTAAAACATCCTGAAATAGTAAGGGTCAAATAATATTTCTGTGCCATCTGATCCAATTGAAAGTATTCGATGTAAAGTACCTTTACATACAACTGAGAAAAACACAGAGCTGGTAATGATCTGATGATCTTTTTCATATTGTATTTCTGAAATTACTTACCTTTAAGTTGCATTTCTTGCCATAGAAATTCTCAATCTTCAGCACATATCACTAGATTATTACTATTGCATTAGCTTTAAAAAAATACAATAAGGTTATTTTATTTATGAAAATGTCTGATCTGTTATATAAAGCACATTGCTATGAAAAATGTATTTTAAGAACTGATGTCCTCCAGGTGTGGAAATGAAACAGATAAAGTCAAAACCGTAGGTTTTAAAAACTTTCAGTGTGTGGCAGAATGACTCCTTAGAATAACTTTGTGCAGCGCTGATATCGTTTGCCACTTCATGTTGCTTGCATGTATTTAATGCAGAAGAGGTCATTGCCGTGGACTGCTTGGCAAGCTCAGTGTGGGATCTGCAGGTTGAGGTCTGTTATTCTATGAATCACCACAGGTAATTATCTATCCCTTAATTGGAATGTAATTAACAATTCCATCAATGCTTTACATCTGACACTGTGGCTATCTCATATCCCCAAAGGACAGCCACATCAGGTCTGTAACACCAGCAGTGTGCCTACCCTGAGGTCACTAGCCGCTGTTGGTACGACAGCAGTCTGTATGGGCATATGCAGCTTGGCTGTGCATTAGCTCTGTTGGGAGCCAGTAGCAGCGGAGCCTTGGCAGCACAGGGCTCGGCACAGCAAGTGCATCTGCTGGGGACAGTCGGCAAATGCTGAAGGCCTGAGGGCAGCTCTGCGTTGCCTTTTCTATAGCGCATCGTGGCAGCCCAGTACACCAGGCTGTACTTCCCAGTCTTGGTAGTTTTAGGCTAAATCAACACAAACTACACTCATACCTTTGTACTGTATTCAAGGCAGAATTATTCTAGGGAGGGCTAGGTGGGTGGAACTGAATAGACAGGACTCAATATACACATATGTCACTAGGCGTAGATATTTTTTTCTTCTCCAAAGGACTAAGTAGTTGCTCTTTTGAAAGCAGTTGCTGAAAAAGAACAATCCTTTTATTCTGGTATAATGTTCCGTTATCTCTGATCATCAGGGCAGCTGTTCAATCATTGTTTTTATGTTCCCGAATGAATATATTAATAATAATATGTACTGTCAAAAATATTAATGACATGAATTAAAACAGTCAGTAAAGATTGCAGCATTTAAACGCTGTAATCATAGAGATACTCTGTGAGCTTATGTCTGGCTAAGTACACTCTCACACCTAAAGGCTGGGGAGGGCTTGAGTGGTTTGTCAATGAACACAAATACTATAAGTTAGTACCGGTCAGGAAGCCAGCTGCAGCATGTGCAAGCATTTTAGGTAAGCAGGCAGTTCAGGCTGTGCTTGGTCACTGTCTGCAACAGGTGTACTCTGTAACCTGCATAAGCATTTTTTACTTGTCTTTATTTCAGTTCCCTGCATTAAAACAGGTAAAATAACTTACTCTTTCGAAGTGCAACATTCATTTATGGTAAACAGGCACTCAAATGCTATTCTGAAATGCTACTTAGACACTGCACAGCCTTTCAGAACGTTTCCCAAGATGACATTCTTTGCAAGAGAACAGAAGCAAATGGTCTATGTAGGTCACAAAAGACAGTTATTATAAACCATGAAAAAGGGACAAATCTGATAGCCAAACCTGGACACCCTTCTCTTCTGCAGGACTACACAGGTCTACCACTTTACATTACAAATTATTTTCTCCAGGTGGCTGAGTCTAATGTTGCTACCCCCAAGAGTTTAACAACCCACTGATGTATTATGCAGATTATTTTCTCCCATTGTTTGCTTTCAGTCCTGCCTATGCTCCTCTTCACAGCTTTCCTTACTGTCTTTCCGTGTCAGCCAAACAATTACCTGGTGATTACGGACAATTCATCTTGCAGTACTATTTTTCTGAAAAGATAATCAATAGTAACCCATCAGATTTCTGTATACGCTGAAATATCTGTATATGAAGGGAAGAGGGGAAAAATGTCTTTCTGCTATTTATTATAGCTGCACACAGTGCAGTGCAGAGTGGCACAGACTTAACATTAATTTAGAGCTAACTTGTGTAATGAGAACATATGTCATAATATTTTGTTCAGATCTAACTTGAATACCTCTACACAGCACTGCTTTATGTTGTATGGGCTCACCACTGATCACCAGTCACCTGCCAGTTCCATGTTTGGAGTATACTGTTAACAAGCTCAAATAATATCGCAGTTTCTTAGTTTTGGAGGCATTTGTACATGGTCAGTACAAATTATCTCTAGCCCTGTCCCGTCCTTTCAGATTTCCAAGACCAATAGTTCAGCAAGATGTGGGGTTTGTTTGCACAGCTACGACATCGCATTGTCTTTTGGTTTGATAATCTAATCTATTTACTTTAACAAAAAAAAATTAATATTTGTCAACCAGAAATTCATGTAAATAGGCTAAGCCCCAAAAGAAACACATGTTTTATGGATAGCATGAAGCACATTCTGTCTACTGTTCAATCTTTCATGAGCTCAGTGATCATGGGCAAGTCACTAAGTCTCTCTGCTTTGCTTTTGTGCACTGGTGAAACAGTTGTGGTAAGAATATTCTCTGATGGTTTTGATGCCTTTGCTAAGGTTTGTGAAACCTTTGGAAGACCTGAGAGTTTTGTACCAGTCTCTCTATGGATGAAGCTGAGAAGCTAATGACTTGAATGGGATAGCAAAGCAGAGTAAAATTAATAGAAACTAAGACATAACTTGTGTTCTGTATCAGTTAAAAGCTTCATTATAAAAATTCAGGTAGTCTGGTGACAAAGGTAGTTTAGACAGCATCAGGAACCAGCTCCAGAGCTGATTTGTGGTAATGTCACTGACAACATCTATATCTTTGTCCCTTTCCTCTTACAGTATCGGTCAGGACGGGATCCTCAGCGAGGCTCAGATAACGTTTCCAACAAGTCTTCAGACAGCGATGTCAGTGATGTCTCAGCTGTGTCACGCACAAGCAGCGCTTCACGCTTCAGCAGCACAAGCTACATGTCTGTCCAGTCAGAGCGGCCAAGAGGAAACAAGAAAATAAGGTGAGCATGAGGAGCAGTAGTGCCAGCCATAGCCATGTAATTTACGTAACTGACCATTTGTCAATATTTGTATTTCAAATTAATATTTTGCCTAGGTTGAAATTTGCAGGGAATTTGCAACATACTCTTTTAAATGTCTTCTTCATCTCATGCTTTTTGAAGTCTTCATGGTATTTTTTTTTAGCCAAATTTTTTCATCTTGGATTACACTAACATACACTAAAATAACAAACATACATCGTCCGCAAGCATTAGAAACACTTAGATTTGCACTTTCTGAAAATCATTTTGTAAAATTCTTGATACGGCTGAAAAGACAGTTTAACTTGAAAATTTGTGCCTGCAATGTCAGAGGCATCTTAATTTCCTTTCAAACTAGAGCTGCTGAACTTCTATAGAAGTCTTATTTAATACTTACACAGATCAATTTATTTAACACTTACAGTACTCAAATTTAACTGTAGGTGTACAACCATTGAATTACTCTTCAACAAGATGTACATAGTGTGCCTGTGAGCAAAACACAGCATCTCCTTTGCCTGCACCCTGTGCACACTCAGAGGAGCTTTGGCTGCAGGAAGAATATAAGATTATTTTTCTCGGAAGGTGTAACACACCTGCATCTGAGCAAAATTCAATGTCAGCCCATGTTAATTCTCTGAAGATTGTCCTCTTAAGACAAATGGTGCATTTGAAAAGATTGTCTTAACCTCTGTTGTATAAGCATTGTTAGGACCACATTGCTTCTGTCACACAGCTATGTATACATTTCTAAAGATGATGTGTTGCCATGCAACTTTTATTTGAAGAAGGACTTAAAGGCTGTCCTAAGAAAACGTCCCAAGGTTCTCTATTGTAGGCTAGGTCTTAGCCTTCATGGTTTAACTTATGACTGCTTCCATCTCAGTTTTTATTTCATTTCTTTTGCACTCCAATTCTTGTGAGTTCATGCATGCTCTTCTCCATGACCTTAACTTTAATTTATTCTTTTCTTTTTTCTTTTTGCATGCGTTTTTCAATTTTTGTTGACTTCAGAAGGACAAGGGTTATAGAGGGAAAAAAAGAGGGAGGGCTGGAAGGGGATGAACAACATGGAATATTTCCTGAGAAGGAAGAAAAAGAGGAGGAGGAGGAAAAATCAAAAGAGCAAGAAATTAATGAAAAGGGGGAAAGGCAAGAGGTGGCAGAGAACTGTGATAAGGAGGAAATCAAAACAGCAGTGCATGATGAAAAAGCTCAAGAAGACCAAGCTGAGGAAGGGAAAGAGGATGACAGGTAAAACATACTTCTGTTTCTATAGACCTATCCTCCTTCCTCCTGTACCAGGACGCTACTTGTCTTCCCTTTTTTTTCCCTTTGCTTAGCTTATTGTCTATATTCTCTGCAGCTTGTTTTGCTTTCTGTCATGATGCTTTCATATTTAAGCAAGTTTCACTCTCAGATTCAGTGAACTTGTTCTGCATACTAAATGATGCAGCACACTAACTTGACTCATTATTATGCATGCAACTACAGCATATTATTTTTTTAATTGGTTTAGACCAGACTTGGGTTTGACTATAATAAACAATAGAAGTTGTAAGATTCCTCATTACATTCCTTGCTTGAATTATTATTTCAGGGAAAAATCTTTTGTTGTTGATATCTCATCGAAGTAAAGAACCGTCTTTACTTTCATTTGTGGCAGTACGGAAGAAGAGAATTTGGACTTTGTTTTTTTTAATCCTCTTTGTGTAGACTGATAAATGTGCATGCTGATCGACAATCGATGCGGATAAGCAGTCTTCCTTTTTTTTGTTGTTCCACGTGAATAACTGTTGTGGGTTGCTGTATTGTGGAGAGGTCATGTACCTCTGCTGCTGTATTGTGTCCAGAAGCATTTCAGCACAACTGACTCTGGTTTTATCAGATAATATTCTAGATTTATACATTTTAGCACAATTCCTTTGAACCATGACTTTTAATGTAAACTAGTGATATTTTGTGTTGCAAAATCCATGTAATTTGCATTGTGAGAAATACAATATTCTTTCCTTCTTCATTAGCAAAAAATGAGTTTGAGATTTGCTAAATATTTTTGAACCCCTTCTCAGCTGCAGAAGAATGGCACAAAATCTCAGAGAAAAATAATATCTTTTACCCTGCTAATTCTGCACAAACTATAGATAACTTCTGCCAGTATAACTGTGGTCATAATATATTAGGGTAAGCACAGACCGCTCTATGGCAATCCTCTTTCCTCCTTTGCTACAAACTTACATGTGTACATGCCTGTGCATACACACACATGCGCGAGCGTGCACAAAGCAAAGGTGATACAAAAAGAGAATTAAAATACATGGTGTTCAGTCTGGGGTGGTATGGGCCAATAAAGCCATATTACTGCTTCCATACATGAAGTGCCATCATTCCTTTACTCATGTGACTGCATTTTAGAATTCAGCAAAAGCAGTTCTTTAGAAACAGCTGTCTTTAAGACTGCCTTGGCATGTGTTCCAGGGACTGTTAAATGTTAGTGTGGGAAAGCATGTTTTAAAGACTTTTTTCTCTGGATCTGAAGTCCTGCCTCTCAAAAAGCATGACCGTGTTCCTGGTTTCCAGCTTTCGCTCAGGTTAGTCTTCAGCTCAAATGTTCTCAGAAAGTAAATCCCTCTTTGAGAAACAACCTCTGGTTCCTTGTGCCAGCTGGTTCCTCTCCTGGTTAGCTGCTCTCTGCCTTCAGGAAGAAGCAGCACAAGTCAGGAGTCCCTACTTCATAGAGAAACAAGATATTACTAAGTGACTGCTGTGCAGTGACTTTTGTTTGTGTTGGATTTTGGCTCCCGACAAGGAAATCAGCCTCTAGTATTATTTGCCCACTTTGCTCATTTTGACCACTTTTAATATGTAAGTTGTGAATAAAAAGGAAGGTTTCTCTATATCCACCTTATTTTCCTGTGGTACAAGTGCTCATCTTTTTAGTATTGTCTCAACATTCTTCTAGGATAAGAAGCAAACTGAAAAGCACAGATTGATTCCTATATACGTACAGGTATATGTAAATGTATACATTTATATACACACATAGTGATCTATCATTAACATGCTGCAATATGGTGACTTGTGTATTCAGTGGACAAACCTGGAGGCAGGATCGATCCTAAGCATTATTGTAAATTCAGTGCCTCCTTCTTGCTTGCTTGGCAATTTATAAGATAACATATACCTGGCAATTTATAAGATACTTATAAGTTGACAACTTCATCTTTCCAAAAAATGTTTTCAGACCCACCACCACCATTAAATAATCATCAAAGCATCACTTAATAATTAAACATATCAATAGGTATTTGAGAGACCCAACAGAACCACAGCAGCCAGCTCATCCAACACAGAATATTAGTAAATTGTCATCTGGTTCTTGAGATCTTGGGCATCAAGAAATGCTATACTGTAATGCGAATTTTCAACATAAATTTTTACTTCAGAGGTGCATCTGAAGGTGACCGTGAAGACAGACATCCATCATGGATCCATCCCATGCTTATTTTAAAGAGTCCCTCTGCGCAATAAACTGCATTAGCTTTTGGAGCACTAGAGCACAATAAATCAATAAACCTTTTTTGGCAGAAATGGTTGCAGCATCATATTTTGCCTTAATTAAAACTTGTAAAATTAAGCCTTGGCATATGGTTGTCCTATAGGGAAAACATAATTGTGTTCTTTCTTGGCAATACATGCGAGTAAAGAGAAAGCACAGATCAAGCTTCCCTGTTGTAATTTTTAAGGATTCCTTATGTACAGTTCTCTGACATTATTTCTTATTCCATCTCCCTGATGATATCAGGGACAAAAAAAGCCCTCTTAGATCTAATGTGTGAGCATTCATAATTCTTATTGCAGGAAATCTGTTTAATACTGCTCTAAATCTTAACCTTCCTTAGCATTTTTCTAAATATCAATCTTAAGCATTAATTCTGTTAGTCACGATAGTTTTGTAATCGCAGAGGAGGATTTCACTGTGCTACACACTGTTGAAATACAGATGAAAAATGAAACCTCTGTTCCAAGCACACAGTGTCTAAATCATGAGATGACATATCAGTCCAGAGAGGGAAACACAGGAGAATTAAGAAATGTTCCACATGACAGGAGATAGCTACAATTCTGGGTTGGAGACATCTTGACAACAAAGAGTACTAAAGGGAGATGTGAAGAAAGACAATAAGACAGCTTTGTGAATGTTTCTGGAGAGCTCTTTTCAAGCATTAGAGGCAATGATTTAAAAAATGAGATGCTTACTGAAAATATATCAAGTGTATGATGGGGCAAGTCTGATGAGCAGCAGGAACTGATCTTTCAGTCTTGAATGTGAGAAGATAAATGTGATAGGGAACAACTGCTAAAATATTGGAAAATAAAGATGATTTATGTATAACTGGATAAAAGATAGTACAGCTTTTTACTGATGTATGGAAAAAGATGACGGTTGGACTTGATGATTTTAGAGGTCTTTACCAACATATGATTCTATGATTCTATGACACAGCCAAATTGAAAGGCTATGAAACTTATCTTTCCTACAGTATCATGGAAGGGGTTAAGGTAAGTAAATTGCCAGGGCTGGAGAAAAGCACTGCAGTAGCTGGCAACTGAAATGGTTAGAGAGTGGACAAAACAGTTAGCTGTGTGGGCAGACAGAGAGGGTAGAGATGTGAAATAGAAAGCATGTGCAAGTCACAAAAAAGTGGACCTACTGAATCCTGAATTAACAGGCCTGCCCAAATAGCAGGTCAGAATGATATGCATGATCCACATGGCTGGGAGAAGAAACAGAAGAGAGGTCTTGGAGGGAAATACCGAGTTTAAGGATACTGAGTTGAGACTGGTGATTCACAAGGAGATGCCATAGAACAACATTTTAGTGTAGGCAGGAGGAGGCAGAGGAAGTGAGAGGGAGTTTTTGTTGCAAAGGGGATAATGCTTTGATGAAAGGATGATGTTTCAGGGACAGCAATAGA